ATATATATATATTTATGAGTACCCATAAGATTTAAAAACCAACGGCATACCTTTTTGCCGCATCATTTGCATCCAGAGAAAGTATACAAAATGACCAAGTAATTAGTCATGGGTATCGTCGAAATCGGCATCCGCTTCAGATGATAGAGTGTCATGTGAAATCTTGTGATTCTCCTTCAATTTTCAGATGCTCTAAAATTATCCGCTTTTTGTTGCAACCGTGCATTGCAACGGATTTAGGATCGAGTCTATATTTTTGATAGCGTGTTAATTGGTGGAATGCGATTCGGATGATTCGATAAATGCAATGGGTTAATCGTCGGCACCAGCCAAGCAGGTATATATATATATATATATATATAATCCAGTACGAGTGGTAATAATCACGTTTTGATAAGAAGCATACCCATCATATTAATGTACATACTATTTCCGTTAATTTGCTACATAGTCAGAATCTCTTTTGGACAGCATAAAAAACCAATTTTCCCGAAACACGTTTTTTTTAAAATCGAGCCGACACAAGTAATTTTTTGCGTAGTCGTTAAATGCACAAAAAAACAGGCTAAAACGTCATTTAATGTCATGGGTTTTCAAATAATAACAATAGAATCAGGTCCAAAAGTTTTCTGCTAATATTTAGACCTCAAATAACATGAAAAAAGTAATAACATTACAAACTCCGAATTTCGAAAATCTCACTTTGCACCTCCAAGTATTAAAATTTTTGTGGAACGAGCCATATATACTTACACAGTCGACCGTCCGACGCCGCCGCGACGCGTGCACGTCCCGACAGTCCCGACAGTCCCGACTTCTCTCTCCGGTTCCTCTGTACAGTAAAAATACAAAACAGTACAGTCAGTTGCAGCGTCTGGTCCGGTCCGGTTGTAAGTTAAAGAGCATTCATAATATCTACGTGGACGTGATACTGACACGTATGAATTATCATTATTTCACGGTGGCGGTTTCTCTGCATTTTTTAAATATTTCTTTTATCATCACGATCGTACTATTTGTGGTTTATTAATGAGCATACAACTGTTCCAGAACTTTCTTTGCAACGGTGACGACAGCAACAATGGGTCTGCTACCAAAGTTCAATGCCGAGCCCTACAATTCGGAGATCATGAAGGTCTACACCTTCTGGGTTGGCGTTCTCACCCTCAAACTCCTGGCTATGTCTTTACTCACCGCCAGGATGCGATTCCGTAAAAAGGTATGGGTTTCTCACATTTTTGTCTTTATCAGTGCACATCACATAAGTACGTTTCGTCAATTAAAATGCCGGCACAGTTGTTTTTCTCTCTCCACTCGTGTATACAATACATATACACATGTATACAATACGCATTATGCGTCCGTCGTCGTTGGCGTCGTCCGTCTTTACCTTATCTATGATTCGTGTATACACCTACTTATCAATATGGTATATTTTTACTTGCATGTGTAAACGACTTGGTGGATAAGCACAGTTAAGATTTTTGGCTTTTTTTTCCTCAACGTTACTTCTTTGTTTCGTGCTCTGTGTTTTTTCATACTTCTGACGTTTGTTTATCAAATACGTAAATGTAAATGAAAAAAAAGCATATGTATAAGTATAAAACACACATGTTTTATTATTTTTTCACCAAAGTAAAAGTCGAGCATGAAATATTTAATGCATTTTTAATGCTGAGTTACAACATTTTTATTCATGAAAAAAAATATTTACAAGCGTACAAATCACTTTAATGCACTTTCATACTTATCTGAGTTTTTTAATTATGCGAGTGTAATAAACATTGATATTAAAAATACTTAATCATGTATGTTTGTGTGATGGTATTGGTTGTGAGGAATCATAATTTACAATCAGCTCAGGCTGCTGAAACTGGTTGTTAAGAGGAAGTTGAGAGACTTTATTGCATTAAAAAAAAGAAAATTACGCACTCAAGGAAAAATTTAGGCCATATAATCAATCATTAATGTTATAGTACTATTATAGTTATGTTATTGTAATGAGTTAGAACTAGAGTACAACCAAAAATTGTAAAGCATGTTGGAAAGATTTCTCAATTCGAAACAATAGTTTGTTACTATTGTTCATTCTGGATAACATATTACATAATTCTCTCTAGTCATTCTAAATAATAGCCAAGGATGACAATCGTATTTGATATCTGTGATTTAGCTCTGACTTGAAGTTTCAACTTAAGTTTTTTAAATTTTTTAATGTTTTGAGTTTGAAAAATTTTTAAGCAATATCTTGCATTTTGTAAACCATCAAAACAGTCCTGTGTACCATACTAACCATTTAAAATTTCCAGGTATTTGCAAATCACGAGGACACAAAGTTTGCTGTAAAAGGTCGTGTGACATATGATGATGAAGATGTGGAAAGGATCCGCAGATCACATTTAAATGACTTGGAAAACATACTTCCTTGGGTAGCCATCACCTACGTTTTTCTTGGCATTGGACCACCAAACTGGCTTGCCAAGGTCCTCATCAATACTTTTGTCCTCTCAAGAATAGGGCACACTTTATCGTATGCCATTTACTCGAAGCAGCCCTACAGAGCCATATTTTTCTTTACTGGTTTTGCTATTACTGCTCTTCAGGCTCTTGCAGCAATTTTCTACTCTATTTAGATGTGTGCTGCAATGTAAGATATATTTTTTGTATCATGTGACAATCTTAACATGAACTTGAGTGCAACTATATTTTCATATATTCTTTATACGAGTTTTTTTTATAATGACTATGCGACGAAAAAAGATTGTAACTATTTTCACTGTTAAATGGTAAAAAAAGAAAGATATTTTATAAATGGTTTGGAAACATAAAGTATTTTGCATCCAAATTCATTTGGTGTTTGTTTGATTGCGTTACAAAACATTTTTCTTAAGTTCTGCAGCAGTCAAGAACGTTCCGTTCGCTTGGTGTACGTGTGAATACAAAAACTCGTCAAAAGCATCCATATCGGAATTAAAATGTCCGATAAAACCGGTCGACGGGTGCCAAAGTAAAGCGAAGAGAAAAAACAAATCACACCAAGTTCCAAGTTATCATTTGAATAATAAATCCACACCGATACGAATGTACACGCGCGCGCGTCCAATATAATCTTGATAAAAGTCCAACTGCGCCGTGTAGATGTTTTTTCGTGTCGTTATGACGACGAGTCGGCGCACTGCATAGGCCCGCAATACGTGTTGAGCACAAGCGCGCCAAAGCTTCCGTAAGCTCTCTGCAATGTGCTTCGGGCGCGCGGCCAGTGCATTACCAAACTCCGCCACTTTCTCGCGTTTGCTGTCATGTACGACATACCCTATGAATACTTTCGTTTTTCTGAATTGACAAGTACTTTATGGAGTACGTGGTGATGCTCGGCGTGTCTGTGTGGAACAACAAAAGGAACGATATGTCCCGCAGGGAAACGATAACAACATCGATCGCACATCGTCATTGGGTCAACGCGAGTATAGATCGATCACAGCCGTTATTGTCGGCGAGGAGCACACGTAGTAAGTGTCACGCGGCCTTCACCAACAGCTCGGACTTGGGACATGTGTTGTTGTTTTCATTTTTTTGCTTTGGTGCACCTTTCTTTTTTTTTTTTTTTTTTTTTTTTTTTTTTTTTTGCAAAATAATGCAATGCACGAAACCCCGGGTGCAACGAAACAGCGCCTGCGAGCACTGCAGTCCCGGCACGCTTGGCTGTATGTTGCACTAGCTCACAGCAGGTGCGATCCAGGAATTAATTTTTCAATCCAACTTAAAATACTATTATGTCTTAAATATAACCAATTAACGAAAACTCAAAGGTGGCATACGTGTGTCGGTGATAACCTAAGTATGTCTGTGTGTTCCAACACCAAGTTATCGTTAAATTACTGAATACCTCTTTTGTAACAATTTTCGATCGGGTTGGACTCGGAATAAAAATTTCCATTTTTTTTGAAGTCGAACACGAACTCGTTACGATTCACGCACGTTATATTTCAATTAGAGAAAGTAGGGCAATTACTTTTACAGAAATGCATAAATTCAAGAGCGTTAATTTGTCTCTTTTGCGCTGACCTTTATGATATTTCATGAAAAATAATCAGGAAGAATATACCGATAAAATCCATTGGTCCTGTCAGGTAGACTGTATCAAGAAATATTAGACATCACGTAGGTATAATTCTTTTCTTTTTTCACGTAAAGAGAAACTGACGAAGACAGAGCGCGTCAAAGTTGCTCGAAATGCTCGATTAACGAACGAGTGACGTCATAAGGCTATAGGTCCGAGCATTTTAAATGTAATGTATGGTTTAACCACGAAGTGACGTCACGCGAAACTTTGACGAGCTCTATCTTTGCCAATTGCTGTTTATTGTGTCGTGAAAAAAAAAAAAAAATCCACGTGTCCAACGCTTTATTTTTTAAAAACTTTTCTACTTGACATGATTTATTCTAAAATCTCGAATAAAAAAAAAGGAAATTTCATCGATACCTCCTATAGAGAGGAAAAAAAACGTAGAAATACTCTTTGGTGCGGGGAATATTGCATACCGATTTTCAACGCAGCTGTCAACACATTCAATGTCCATCCTCGAGACACTAAAGACAGACAAGTACTTGTCTATTAAAAAGTCCTCACTATCTTCGCAAGGCACAAACGCGTTACTGTTCATACAAACGTGTGGATAACTGCTCGCGTGTAGGCTTAATTCGTTCATTGCGGGGATAGTTTCGCGCTACTTTGTACTGCACGGATGTATATGTTTATCTGATTGCGCTCATCGATTACCCACGCTTTTCGTTTCTTGTGTGCACTGTTTTAAGGTCACCGAAATTTGGAAGAACTTTTTTTCTTTTTCTTATTGGCCCTACAGCATTTGATGCTCAGTGGCACGTTAACAGGCGAAAAGTTAACTTTGTCCGATGAGGCAATCGATCCAAGGCTGGTGGCGCGCATTTATTGAAATGGTATATAGCCGCAGCGTGTACGAATAAAGGAAGAATAGGTAGGTGTTTGTATATGTATATAGGCACTTTTTTCAATTCCGGCATTAGATGACGAGAAAAATGGATGAGTTTTATTTTCCTTCTCTGCGATAAAAATGAGTTTAGCGTTAAAAATAGACGGTCGGCATTATGCATTCAATGACTCCTCCGGTGTTCAAGTATATATACAAGCAAAACCGATCGCTCCAAAAGGCCGTACGTTTTTATACGAACGGATTTTGCTTAAAGAAACTCGACTTTTTTTTTCACCGAAGATCACATTCCTTGGATTCCAGGGTTTGTCTTTGCAGGGCCTGGAAAAAAAGGAAGAAAATCGGTCGATCCAATCGGGGAATTCCATCATTGAGCGACGGTCGCGTGGGCAAGGTGTTGAAGTGCAAATTTTCTTCTCCTCGAGTCTTTTTTTTTCTTCAGAAATGAGCAACAGAGAATATCCCAGCGCGAGTGTGACGGCACTCCGAGATTTTTGTCTTGCCGATTCGCGGATCAACCGAATCGAACTATAGGCGCCGTATGTCATTGAATCCATATAAATAGTTGATGGCTCTACCTTGTTTTTTTAGTGCCTTTTTTTTTGTCCGAAAATGTATGGCGCACACAGGTAAAACCGTTTGTCCGCGACAAAACTTGGGATTAAACGTACAAATATTTTTTTCAGACGGTCTGATTCATCTCTATTTTCGGGGATGAGAACGAAAACGCTGTGAGCGTCAAAGCGCGCACTCGTTCGAGTACGGAACATGTATTAAATTTTGTGAAAAAACAAAAATTACAAACAATATATCTATAACTATGTAGTACCTATATATACAGCTGTATAAACTGTTGAGCGAATGGTTGTACTTAATATTTTATTTAAAAAAAGTCATACGGCAACGAACGATTTCAATTACACATCCGGACGAGCTCATTATTGCCGATGTTATCGCCGTTGAAATTTATTATACGCGACGAGTCGATGACGCGAGACGCGCGCGCGATTGCCATTTAGTATTTATGAGTCCATTGTTGAAAGTGTATGTAAGTACAATATATATAGTTACACGCGCCATTAGCTACAAATGTGTGTTTTAGTACCTCTGCGTAATTATGTATTTGCCATTGATAAAATTTCAAACTAGAAAAAGTACACTCTGTTTAATTGAAAAAAAAAAAAAAAATTGTATTGCGTTGAAATGTTGTGCAAATTTGGTTTTTTAAATATAATTTGTGCAAGTTCTGAAGTCTATAATTTTTTTTAACAAAATTTCAAACGCTTACATCTTCGTAAGTATTAGAGATAGAGCCAAAAGAGCCATTCTGTTAGAAATCGTAATTTTATAAATATTTATTCTCTTTGGCTCGTGATACTTACAATGTTGATTATAGGTACATATACAATTAAATAAGAATCTATGAACCTTATAGGCCATAGTTTTATACATCAAGATACCCATGTATATAGGCGCTACGAGATTAACCCCCAAGTCGGAGATACGGCAAAAGAATAATGGTAACTTGTAAGTAGTTTTTCGTGAGCTCACTCCATTACGATTGTACAATAAAATGGTTGTGCAAGTCAACACATGCCTTTAAAAGAAATGATAAATACACGTGAAAATACATGTAATTATATGTAAGTGCCATAATTAACGTATATATGCCAATACACTCTTTCTTCGATCGATATACCTATACCTACGAGGTATTATGCAATTCCAACTTTTTTACGAAACGCGAAAGCTCGAAGTCGAGCGTGCAAGTATTGCACCGATGGTAAATAAATATAAAAAAGCTAGTCGGTTTATCTTATACGTGTACACGACATGCCCGTGTGGGACGTTATTTATATACACACAGGACCGCAAGGAAGCGCATATATGATATGACTTGCGTATATATTTATATACCTACCGATACGTCGCACGCCTATACATCGGTACAAACGTATAAGTTACGAGTTACCTCAAATTTACAGATGCGTTTTCACGCAAAAGTGTCCCAAGAGTTTCGGTAATGACTATATGTATACGAGTGTGTGGGCAGTATCGATGATACGAAGAGGATAAATGAGTAATGATGCCAAAAAAAAGGAAGGGAGGGTAGGCCCCGATTTTTGATTCTCACTGCAAGTAAGTTATACACGAGAGAAAGAACAAGGTCTCAAAAGCGAGCTGCTGGAGGCTGCGTTAGTGTCAGGGACGAATATGGTAAGAACCGAAGCCGAGAACGAGTCATTACACTCCTGCTTTTGAAACTCGGTGACTTTTTTTCCCTCTCGATCGTTATACATGTACACATACATCGTGAATCAACGCGTCGACGATTTTTTTTTTTTTTTTTTTTTTTCGTCTGATAAATGTCTATATGGGTGAATATCAATTCAAGATGAGGTGAGTGCTGCCCCTTTGTCCTCTGGCGTTTGGTTTCCCATGAGAGGGTAATTGTTATTTATAAAACTTTGTCGCGCGATACATTTCATCTTTGGCGCGGGATTGCCATTGTATTGGCCTGTTTTTTTTTTTTTTTTTTTTTTTTTTTTTTCAGAGATGCTGCACGGCAAGGAGTCGATACGATCATCGGGTAAAAATACGCGCGGCCGGATCGTGACGAATTCGCCGAGATGCGCAGTGCAGGACTTATTGGGACGTTCTTTCTAGATTAAATTTCGCTTCGCTAACGATCGGACAAAAAAAAAACAAACAATCGAGACGTCAACAAAATAGAAGAGAAAAAAATGATGGAAAGCGCGACGGTCGTCATTTCCCCTTTTTTTTCAACTCTTTCTAAGGGTTCTTGTATGTATGAAAACTTGCGACAGTATAGTCACACATTTCCGAGCACATTGATCAGTTTGGGCCTCTGAAA